TAAATGTGCTTTATAAATAATGGTGACTTGACTTTGCTTTTTGGAACAATGACGGTAGGTTAAGTATATGTGAACATCATATTATTGCACATGGTCAATGCACCTGCTGGTATAGTCTGCGTTAGCACATGGCCTTTGTATTTAGTGCTGGTAATAATCTAAAAACTATCACTGCAGATGGTTACATCTCAGTCATGTCATTTTTTTTGTCTTTACAGAAGACGATGATGGTTTGTCAAGAGTGGCTGGATCCTCCATTTTCACTTTTCAGAAAGTCAAACGCAGCCACAGCATGGCTCAGACTGGTGAGAGCCTCCAGTCTCTTCTCTCATGGATGTACAAACTAGCTTGTTTTGCATGTTTTCTGTCAGGTTTATCAGAGGATTGTTGATTTACTAATACACACTCTTGTGTTTCAACACACAGCAAGTGAGTTGGCTCGGACTCCTGGGAAAAGTGTCACCTTCAGCACGACCCCAAACGCTGAACCCTGCACTCCCACTCGCACAGGACGCAGTGAGTGCAGCAAACTCACTCTACATTTTTTTATCCATTACATTCTGTTTTCATTTTCATACAGTTATTTTTTTTCTCTCCCTGTAGACCAGAGAGGTGAAAGCAGGACGCCGCAGAGGGTGAGACGACAAACACCAGTTCATCCCTAATGACAACATGTTTTGTAAAACTGTGGTTGCTGGTTTTACTGTGTCACCAGAGAGAGACTTGACTTTTCACAATCTTACCTTTGCTGTTTTTTTTTGTAACTTCAGAGGAAGAAGGTCCAGTTTGTGTCCACAACACCACACAGGCTCAGGAAGAGAATGACAAGTGAGTCCAATACGTACTAGAGTAGCTTCACAGTAGGTAAAATGTGTCTTTAATCTAAACTAGGGGTGGGACATACGATTAGTTTGACTTACTAGAGTCACTACTTCATGACAACTTGTGGCAGCTCTTATCAGACAGACAGTGAGTCAAAACCAGAGAACTAATGCATTGAACTGACACATCATTAAATGTTGTTTACGCTGTTTTTTTGTCTTTGAGTGTTTTTTTCTTCTTTAGTTACACAGATATCAGGATGCCTCTTACATCACTATACTGCTATGTACTGAGTGTCGCACAATCGCTGTATTTAGACAACATCCTCTTTATCATCAACATACCGTGATCACATCATACACGACACTCTGTGATTTCCGCTCCTAATCCGAACGTGTTTGATATTTTCAGCTCCGAGCCTCCGATCGGACAGTGACAGCGATCTGTCGCCGTCTGACTCTGAGGAGGAGGATGATGATGATGAAGAGGGGATGGAGGAAGGCCAGAAAGTAAAGAAAGAGGACAAGGAGAATGTGAAAACCCCAAGAACTCCCAGCAGAGGTTTATCTGCAGCTCTCTACAAGACTCCAGCCAAGAAGAGCAAGAACGCACCGGAACCTCTGAGCCAGCCCAGCATGATCGAGGAGTACTTTGAAGCTCACGGCAGTTCAAAAGTCCTCACATCAGACCGCACTCTCGAGCGTTTACACACGCCTAAGCTCGACAGGGTGAGTTTATGCCTTCGTTATGTAGTTAATGTCCTGCTTTTGCTTACAAAGTTGGTTGAATAAGATTTCATTTGGTTTTTGCAGGAGACGTTGGTGCGGCTCTTAGGAGGGAAACCATCCTGCTACTCAAAGGAGATTCAGCAGCTGCACAACAAACACCAAAAGCACTTTAGCAAATGGATGTTACAGTTACAGTGAGTGTAGTTGCACTTAATTGCAGACATGTTAATAGTGTTTAAACAGTATTGCAATACAGAAGGTGTTTGGTGGTTTTGTGTGTAGGTTGGGATTCAGTGTTCTGGTCTACGGTTTGGGCAGCAAAAAAGCTCTGCTGGAGGACTTCCGTGTGTCTCATTTGTCTCAAGAAATCCACCTGGTGGTCAATGGATTTTTCCCTTCAATTACTCTTAAATCGGTCAGTATTCAAACGCTTTATTTATTTCTACAGCTTAAACACAGCTGTGATGAAAATGGGAGCAGCAGTGGAAGCTTTATTTGTTGTGTCCTTATCCACTATACGTTTATTACAGATATTAAACGCTCTAACGTGTGAGGTTCTTGAGCACCAGGGAAGTTTCCGAACACCCTCAGACCAGATCCAGTTTATCGCTCAGACCCTTAAAGACAGTAAGTTCACCTCTGAAATGTTTCTGTGTCTCGAGGTTGTGTTTGAATTCTGTGTGTTTTTACATTCGTGCTCTGTCCTCACAGGCCCAGATCTCCACGTGTACCTGCTCATCCATAACATCGACGGACCAATGCTGCGAGGAGAGAAGACCCAGAGTGCACTGGGGCAGCTGGCGTCCCTCCCCAACCTGCACCTGGTGGCTTCTTTGGACCACATCAACGCTCCAATGGGTGGGTGTCTGTTTGTCCTGCAGCAATATTTATACTGAAACGTGTCCCTGTCGCTGAATGTTTCCTGCCTGTTCTCAGTGTGGGACCAGTTTAAGCAGAGTCAGTTCAACTGGCTGTGGTGGGAGTGTGTGACGTTCCAGCACTACGCCGAGGAGACGTCGTATGAAAACTCTCTACTGGTGCAGCAGACCGGCGCTCTCGCTCTGTCCTCCCTCACACATGTGCTGCGCAGCTTGACACCCAACGCAAGGTACCACTTACACCTTATTATGATGAGTTGTAAAAGACCTGATCACACCTGGCATTAGCTTGTATCTTATGTCCGATCTGATCAGAAGTGGACAGCTGTTAGAACAGGTGTTAGTGCACTCAGGATGCTTTGAGATCAGATTTCAAAAAGACACTTTCATAGGTGGTCTGGGACACGTATGGCTGCACTCTTTTAGTAATGTTAATGCAAATGTGTCTGCTGCCTACTGAGAGTCATTCCTCAGATCAGGTAGCAGCAGTTATTGTTAGCGATTAATTTTACAGGAGCAGTTAGTTCAGTTAGTAGCTGTGCAGCCTTTGTGTTTAGCCATGGGTTGGGTCGCAGGACTTGGATTAACAAGGCTCAGAGGGACTTGGAGATAATTGCAGTCAATTCTGGCTTTACTCATCCCTGTGTGCAGACCTATGCACACGGCGATAGGTCAGAGTCGATCTGCTACGTGGACAGTTGCGTTGCCCCTCACATCTAACGCAGAAAAAAACACCAGGATATAGCAGCTGGTTACAGATTACACTTTAGCATTGTGGTAATGTGATTACTCCTGGGTGGGCGGACATAGCACAGGATTTCTAGATAAATTCAAGGTTCTACTTTTGGGCTCTGGAAAGCATGAATAAATGACTTCAATTACAAATCTTTTAGTGATGAATTATCAAGGTCTGGTTGACAGAGCATCCCCTTGTACAGTCTCTCCTCACACCAAACATTTGTTTTAAGCTCCACTTGGTATCTTGGCACATGTACCTGAGGCGTACTTGCACTGCGGACGATCCGTGTGGTCACAAATTTTGGGCTACACATGAAAGTACTCACAGATTTGGGTGGATGACAAAATTGCAACCCCTTACACACATCGTGGACATGGACAGAATGAATTGGCCTCAAGAATTTGGCTCTGATATTGAGCTATGCAGCTACACGCTGATGTGGATTTGCTAAAGACAGAACTCTGGTGTTTGTTCTTTGTATCACTTCATGCACATGTAGAAATGCGTTCTAAAGCCAGGTATGATCTAACATACTCAGGGATGCCCCCTTGTTATCGGATCACCCAAAGCACATTTTAATGTCGGGTATGAACAGGTCCAAAGCTGCAGGAATCTGCAACTTCTTAACATTTCTGTGTCCTTTGTTTTTGCAGGGGAATCTTTAAGCTGCTGGTAAAATTCCAGCTGGAAAACAAAGACAATCCTTCATACACAGGTGTGCAGACATTCAACACTTAAAGCTTCCTAACAATTTTTATTCAAATTCCACCTGTATCGCTGTACAGTTCTAATGACTCTCTGTGCCATGTGCAGGATTGTCTTTCCAGGATTTCTACCAGCGTTGTCGAGAGGCCTTCTTGGTGAACTCTGACCTCACGCTGAGGACTCAGCTGACCGAGTTCAGAGACCACAAACTGATACGGACACGCAAGGTGGACTTGTGTTTCAATTCAGAATTCTCTGCTCTCACTCATAACTCCGGTGCTTATCATTTACTCTTTTCACACAATACTCCAGGGTGCAGATGGAGTGGAGTACCTGGTCGTCGCTGTGGACGCGAGCACGTTGATGGATTTCCTGGAGAACGAGGAGGGCGACTGAGGAGACAAAACTTCAGACTTATGAACTCTCTTTTCCAGCAGAAACTCAAGCTGAATGAGCCACTGATATAAAGGCGCTGTTACATCTGATTAACATACGACAGGAACCAGCCTGTGGGCTCTGCACAGCTTAAATTAGTGGTTTATATTAAATTGCTAGTAGCATGTTTTGACCTGTCCTAAATGCCCCACTGCAGCACTGTGACGTTCACATTGTGCTTTGATGTACACGTTCACAGCTGACATCTGTGTAATTAAAAGCAACACTTGAATGAATTTATTGTTGCTTATTCTCTTTAATTACAGAAATAGATTTAAAGTTTAGCAAAACATACATTCTTTTGTTCTTACATGGCAGGAAGGCATGCAGCCATTTTAGAAAAAGCAAGGGGAGGAATCGTCCACATTGGAAAACTGGACCACAAAAGGGGAAAGAGGTGGTGCCGTTAAATCGCAGGCCGTGCTCAGTGCGGGCTGAATGTCAGAGCAGAATGCAGGGATCCTGAGGTTTGGGTCAAACATGGAAAGGGGAGCGAGATGTTGGGCCCGGAGTGCATGCTGTGAAAAATCAGTGCTGGATTTCGGCGGTTTTCTGTGTCTGCTGTGAATCTTTGAACGTCTCTGAGTCCAGTGTGTACGTCTGGAGTCTGTTCTGTGTAGCTGTGTGAACAATATGAAGCTCCTCTTCATCCAGATCCCTCAGCAGCAGCAGAACCGCATCAAGAGTGTGTGTCTGGAAATAGAGTTAGATCAATAATTGTCAGATAGGAATAATAATATTATAGGATTAGGTATAATTCAGCACATTAAGACAAAGGGGGAACACTGCTAAGAGAGAAGTTACCCTTTTCAGTGATAGTTTGGTTTCTCTGGTTGATGGTGAAGAAAGAGAGGAGAACTTGTCTCTGGAGAGAGGTTTCATCCCCAACTCTTCTCTGATTTTGCTTAAAAAATAAAAATAAAAACAACACACACACAAATTAAGAGAGAAATGTTTTCTTCCTGTCTGCATTATCAAATCAAATTTTAATGTCATTTTTCTGTATATACAACAGTAGTGCAGGCAAGATGAGGGAGCATTTCTCCAGGATCCAATAGCTTAAAGCAATTAAGTTAAGACACCAACACTTATGCAGTGACACACCGACCCACCCACCCACATCCCTACAACGTAAATTTTACAAAATTAAATAAAATAAATGATTTAACAAAAAATATGTTGGTAGATTGATTGTAGTCAGTGTGTGTTCTACTTTCCGGTAATGTTAAGACCTACTTTGTCTCCTCCATGTTGTAGTTCAGCGGATCATTCTCCGTCTCTGTGTCTGGAAGTCCGTTGGAGGACAGCTGGTTCTGATTACTACCTGGGGGTGTGGTGACCTCCTCGCCTTCCATGAGAGCCAGTGCAATTTCATCCTCTGTCACTACTGCACAGACAAAACAGTGAAAACTTACATGTATGAGCTGTTCTTAAGTTGCACAACAGCTGCTACATTTGGGTGACACTGATTTTTCAACAAGGTCAAAAATGCACTTTAAGCCTCAACTTTGAAGCCAAAAAGGAGAAAATATGAATGAGCAAACCAACACTAAGTGTCTTTGTAAGGCGTTGGGCCTGAACTGGCCACCAGAATAGCTTTAATGCAGCTTGGCATTGATTCTTCAAGACTCTGGAGTTGTGCTAGAGTGAGGAACACCATTCTTTTGAAAGATATTCATTTATTTGGTGTTTGTGAAGAGCAATGTCTGAAACACTGGTTTAAAATCCCCCATAGGTGTTCTGATGAGATCTGGTGATTGTGAAGCCCACAGCAAGTCACTCACATAATTTTCAAACCCATCACGCCATTCAGTGACCTCTCATATCCTGTGTCTGGGGCCACTGTCATCTTGGAAGAGAGCACTTCCATCAGGATAGAAATGTTTCATCATACGATAAAGGGGATCACTCAGAAAAACTTTGTATTGATTTGCAGTGACCCTTCTCTCTAAACAAAAAAGTGGAACTAAACCATGCCAATAAAATGCCCCCACAGCACAACAGAGCCACCAGATCCCTTTATGCAGAGGTCAAAGGTTGAGGTCTTTGCCTTCACTTGTCTATATCTGCTGATAAAGTGTGATATGTATGTATATCATATGCGATATGATTAAAAGCTCCTGAGCAGCTGAGGTAAGACTGCTTTGTCAGGGCTGAAGTGTAGAAAAACATGGCATACTCACCTTGGTTGTCAAGTTTCTGAAGACGGGGCAGGCAGCGCAGCACAGTGAGCCGATACTGGCTGGAGTCAGTTCCACAGCAGGGATTCTCAGCCAACCAAAGAACTCTGAGACGAGTCAGAGGACGCAGGTGAGAGAGCTCGGAGAGGGAAGGAATCATGTTCCTCCTCAGGTACAGCTCAGTCAGAGCCAGACAGCCGGCCAGAGGAGAGAGAGACGAGATGCTGTTGACACTGGACGGAGAGAAGGAAGAGATCACAGACAGGAACTGTGGAGCATCCTGACTGCCTCTGTGTTGCTCTAACAGTATAATGTTAGTGTTAACGTGGCTGTATGGGGGAGACAGCAGAGTTAAAACAGACCAACCTCAGTGTCAGCACCTCAATGTTGGGCATCTGAGAGAAGATAGAAATCTGAAAAACACATACATTCAAACCACTAAATTAAAATGATTAAAAACAGAAGTAAGTAAACTGCAGAATGAATAATGAATTCGGTGTCAGGCTAAGTATGACATCATTAACTGAGTACTCACATCAGTCAGGTTGCATCCCCTGCAAAATAAAATGTAATGTAACGTTACTAAAAATACGAGTCACAGAGAAAGTTGTATTTGTCCACCTCGAAAATCATCATATAAACCAAAAACCAACACAATCACTGTTATGCTAAAATGTCAGCACTTACCAGCAGTTCAGTTTCTTCACGCTTTCCAGGTCGGAGGCCTTCGCCTTAGCGAGCACCAGTTTCCGTGTTAGCTTCATGGCATATCAGCTCACTTAATAACAAAAAAACAATATTTTCAATGGACTATATATTCGCAAACAACTAAGCTCGCATCACGACAGGCTAAGTGGACAAACATTTCAACTCAGCAGCAGGGATGTTGTCGTCCACGACAGCAATACGCATGCGCGTATCAACAGACGCGTCCCTAGTTACGCCTTAAACAGTTTCCTTTGTAATGTTATGTACAAGAGGATAGTTTGCTCGTTTTGTAAATTAATAACCTATACAGATTTTTTATTTTTACGATTCATGCTGATGTGGACTTTCCCGTTTATGCATTAGCGCTGCATTCAAGGAAAACTCAAAGTCCCACAATGCAACATGAACAACTGAGTAAATCGCGCCTGCGCCCTAAGCAATCCCTCTTTGGACCTACGTCTCCACTGAAACGATGGTGAGCTTAGCCTCTCCTGCTCATAATCCGTGTCAATCTAACAATTTCTGTGCTTTAAATGGTATATCTACATATTCGGAGGTTCTGCAGTGACCCTTTCTGTCAGAGCAGCGCTTTATTTGTGTTACTTTGATGATTGTATTAACAGAAAAAACGATGTTTTCATGTCCTACTGAGACAGTAATGGCGGCCACCATTGCTACACTCACTGAGCTCAAGAGCCGGGCGGGCTAGTCACTTTAGCCTACTGTCTGGCGAAAAATCCTAAATTCCGTACTCATTTACAATGTGAGTAGTTACAATAATTGGCCTTGCTCATGTCTCAACTGAGCCAGTCGTCTGTTAAACTAGTTGTTGGTTTGAGTTAGCACCGTGGTTAGCTTAGCGAGAGGAAGCTTGTGCTAGCTAGCTGGGCTTGCTAGTGGTGACAGCACCTCATTCACCCTGTAAAATTTTTCTGAGTATTTGTACGTGTGTTAACTACTCAGTGATGCTCAGAAGGGAACTGCATCTGTGACTGAGTTATTGAGAATATGTGAATACTGCTCAGGATACGCTTGGCACTAGAAACTGTCCCGGATTCAGTAGTCCATGTTAGATGCATCAGCTGCAATATGAAACTCTTAACATCTTGTGCACAAGCAAGACTGTTTCGCATAATCAAGCTTGTTTTTGTGTTTTTTCTTTCTTCAGGCCAAGCGCACCAAGAAGGTGGGGATCGTTGGTAAATACGGCACCCGTTATGGTGCGTCGCTGAGGAAGATGGTGAAGAAAATCGAAATCTCCCAGCATGCTAAATACACTTGCTCTTTCTGTGGCAAGGTGAGGACCGAGCTGAACACAACACATGCAGCAAATGGCACTGATTTTAACTGTCTTCAGAGTATAATGGTTGGATGTTGTCCCTGGACAAGGCAACAGAGAGCCTTTTTGAAATGTTTCTAATGCTTTAAATGTGTATTTACAGACCAAGATGAAGAGGAGGGCTGTTGGTATCTGGCATTGTGGTTCCTGCAAGAAGACCGTGGCTGGAGGTGCCTGGACTTACAAGTAGGTTTCTTTTGTCTTTCCTCTGATTGCCTCATCCGCCTTCATGTGGACTCTCAAATTTAGATGACTGCTGTGGATATTGTTGTGAAAAGTCATTTTGGTTTGACGGCTGTGTCATCGCCAATAGATGAGCATAGAATCTCTGTCCATACAAACATGTGAACGCTTGTCACATAAATATTTGCCTTATGTGTCAAGTAGGCAATTGCCCACAGTTACTCAAGACAAATCATGTGATAGGGCTGTGACGAATCAGGACAGGACATGCAGTGAGTGGTGAGAACCAATCCTGAGACAAAGATAGGTGTCTGGGTGATCAATTCCAGAAGTCCTCCTATCTCATCCATCCAAGGAACCGTTTTCAAACTGAAGCAGGAAAACAGTGGATGGTAGAAGTGAAACATATTCGGTTCAAAAGCGCTTTAGTGTGAATGTAGCCTTGATCTAAAGCCACCGCCACCAGCAGTGCTATTTTTTAGCATCATTATGGGGCCGTTCTACCTGATCTGCAGGGCGTGTCAGGGGTTTGTTGCATCATTAGACTGGAAGTAGTCCAGACTGGTGACGCTGTACCCACAGAACAAGCAGGCTCACAGTTTTTTATGCCTAGACAGATCATTGTCATTGAGTTGTTTTTGTTTGTTTTGTCAAAGCTTCAAATGCTAATCACTCATCGGAATTTGTCAAATTCGTCTTGTCAGTGAGTTTAATAAATAATAAGCTCTGTTCAGAAATGCAGTGATGATTGAGCTGTTTGTTAATAGCGCTTTTGAGTGAAGTTGTGTAATTTTGACCAATACAGCACCTGAGCTTTTGTGTCCTCCATTGAAGCTAAATAGCCTTATGGTTCAAAAAACAATGCGTTATTGACTAACGGTGGTACACTAGATTGTGTTATTTATTTTTCATGCAAACGACCATTAAAGCATTGATAACTGTTTTCTTTTGAATGGATCAACTCAAAGATTTCCTCTACATTGTTTCCATCTGTAAGGACAAACATGCTCCTCCTTAAAAACTGGTGAGAATCTCCTGGTTGTGGAACCTGTGGTGTTGGTCCGAATTAATCTTGTATGTTTTGTCCCCCCCTTCTCTTGCAGCACAACTTCCGCTGTCACAGTCAAGTCCGCAATCAGGAGGCTGAAGGAGCTGAAGGACCAGTAAACCAGTGCGCAATGATCACTGGTGGATTTGGGACTTTGTTTTCTATAATTTAACCGACCTGGACATGACCTCAACATCCAATAATAAAGCGGTCTGGAGCGGAGTTCTTTGTTTGTGTCTTTGTATGTCTTTTTAATAATGTAGCTGTAAAATTACATCATGACAA